AGTTCTTTTTTAGCTTCAGTTTTAAATTGGCTACAACTAGGTGGTGATCTGAAGCTACGTCAGCACCTCTCCTGGTTCTCACATCTTCCATTGTCCTTCGGAATTTTTTGTTGATGCAAATATGATCTATCTGGTTCTCTGTAGTGTGGTCCGGTGAGATCCATGTAGCCTTGTGTATACGCTTGTGTGGAAATATTGTGCCTCCTATGACCAATTTGTTGAATGCACATAGATTTGCAAATCTTTCTCCATTTTCGTTTCTCTGTCCCAGTCCATGTCGTCCCATAATATCTTCATATCCGGTGTTGTCTATTCCGACTTTGGCATTTAGATCTCCCATCAGAATAGTTAGGTCCTTTCTTGGGCATTTCTCAATGATTGACTGCAGCCGCTCGTAGAACTGATCTTTGATTTCGTCGTTGCTATCATTGGTGGGTGCATAACATTGGATAATATTCATTAAGATCCCCTCCTTCTTTGTTTTGAATGATGCTTTGATGATTCTGGATCCGTGAGATTCCCATCCTACAAGTGCATTTCGTGCTACTTTGGACAGCATTAGAGCGACTCCCTGAGTGTGTGGAGCATTTTCCTCTTCGTGACCGGAGTATAGCAGCATCTCTCCCGTAGCTAGCCTTTTCTGTCCAGCTTGAGGCCAGTGGGTTTCACAGATTCCCAGTACTGCCAGGTTGTATCTCCCCATTTCCGTTCTTCAGACGTTCCATTTACCTATAAAAATGTTTGCTCTGGTTGTTAGAAGGGGCATCGGCCTCGTGACTTCCGGAGGAACTCGACTTTCATCATGAAGCGTAATAATTCTTCTAAATGAAGACCTTCTAACTCCCAGGGCAGAGTTAAAATGGTTTGGATTATTTTTTCTGGTAAGCGTTTTTTTAGCGGGTTAGTTTTCTAAGGGATGGGGACGCTAACCCCATGCCCGACCCTCCTCCTTTACCCGGGCTTGGGACCGGCAGTAACTGTAGAAGAGCTACAGGCGGAGTTACACGTTGCTAATAGGTTAGGGATATCTTGACCCTCAAGAATGCTGGTGTACAACTGTGACATTAATGTTGTGCTCGCTTCCTTTCTTGTCTATGGTATTAAGTAATGGACAAATGGTCATCATTGAATGAACTGATGAAAATGCCCGATGACAGTATGTGATTAGAGTTTGAAAGTGACACGTATGAAGAACTATTTCGTTTCATCTACGTTGGTGGTCTACGCTTGTGAGCCCGACTTCAAACAACACAATCAATAATTACAATCTTTTTATTGCATCATGTATTCATTATTTTTCATCTTTAAAGTCACCAATGTTAATCAATTACCATGAACAATAGTTCCTTCCTAACATTAATGTATTACCACAAATGCTGTCCACTTTCTCCATTTTTAAATAGCTCCATCATAGACATACTGATGGCAATAACATTCTGGTCGACTGAATTCTCGTGTATTGATCTCCTTCCAGGAGGTCCACTTATCATCTTAGAATACGCAGATGACATAGTCCTGTTTGGTGAAGACGCTGATAAAATGCAGATTCTTTTGGTACCACTAAGCAACAATGCCAGAATGTTTGGAATGCGCTTCTCTCCCTGTAAATGCCAGGTGCTGCTTCAGGACTGGTCTGCGCCATTGAAAGTAGAAGACACTCGTAAGCTACTAGTATTTGACCACAGATGTCTTACAAATATTGCTCGCATCTGCTGGGATCACCGGGTAAGTAATAGTGAGGTTAGACGCAGGGTATTAGGGAATGATGGTAAATCAGTTGATGAGGTTGCGAATCTTCATCGACTGAGATGGTTGGGTCACGTGCTGTATGCGCCTAAACACCGGTCACCACGACGTGCAATGCTGACCGGTGTTCGGGATGGTTGGAAGAAAGTTAGGGGCGGCCAAACCAACACGTGGCATCAGTGCTTGAAGTCACTAACGTCTGTTCTGAGCCATGTTGGTAGATGCAGACTACTTGGTTGGGGTCCGCGTGACTATCGTAAGCAATGATTGGAAACTCCTGCTGACATGTCTCACGATCGATCACAATGGCGTCAGTGTTTTCACTCTCTGTCTTCCCTTAAACTAAGAGATTAAAATCGCCTCATATCTTAATTTCTACAAACCAATTCCTTCTCCCTGCACTATATCCTCATATGCAATCTTTCTTTTATGTATTGCCACAAATGCTGTCCACTTTCTCCATTTTTAAATAGCTCCATCATAGACATACTGATGGCAATAACATTCTGGTCGACTGAATTCTCGTGTATTGATCTCCTTCCAGGAGGTCCACTTATCATCTTAGAATACGCAGATGACATAGTCCTGTTTGGTGAAGACGCTGATAAAATGCAGATTCTTTTGGTAGCACTAAGCAACAATGCCAGAATGTTTGGAATGCGCTTCTCTCCCTGTAAATGCCAGGTGCTGCTTCAGGACTGGTCTGCGCCATTGAAAGTAGAAGACACTCGTAAGCTACTAGTATTTGACCACAGATGTCTTACAAATATTGCTCGCATCTGCTGGGATCACCGGGTAAGTAATAGTGAGGTTAGACGCAGGGTATTAGGGAATGATGGTAAATCAGTTGATGAGGTTGCGAATCTTCATCGACTGAGATGGTTGGGTCACGTGCTGTATGCGCCTAAACACCGGTCACCACGACGTGCAATGCTGACCGGTGTTCGGGATGGTTGGAAGAAAGTTAGGGGCGGCCAAACCAACACGTGGCATCAGTGCTTGAAGTCACTAACGTCTGTTCTGAGCCATGTTGGTAGATGCAGACTACTTGGTTGGGGTCCGCGTGACTATCGTAAGCAATGATTGGAAACTCCTGCTGACATGTCTCACGATCGATCACAATGGCGTCAGTGTTTTCACTCTCTGTCTTCCCTTAAACTAAGAGATTAAAATCGCCTCATATCTTAATTTCTACAAACCAATTCCTTCTCCCTGCACTATATCCTCATATGCAATCTTTCTTTTATGTATTGCCACAAATGCTGTCCACTTTCTCCATTTTTAAATAGCTCCATCATAGAAATACTGATGGCAATAACATTCTGGTCGACTGAATTCTCGTGTATTGATCTCCTTCCAGGAGGTCCACTTATCATCTTAGAATACGCAGATGACATAGTCCTGTTTGGTGAAGACGCTGATAAAATGCAGATTCTTTTGGTAGCACTAAGCAACAATGCCAGAATGTTTGGAATGCGCTTCTCTCCCTGTAAATGCCAGGTGCTGCTTCAGGACTGGTCTGCGCCATTGAAAGTAGAAGACACTCGTAAGCTACTAGTATTTGACCACAGATGTCTTACAAATATTGCTCGCATCTGCTGGGATCACCGGGTAAGTAATAGTGAGGTTAGACGCAGGGTATTAGGGAATGATGGTAAATCAGTTGATGAGGTTGCGAATCTTCATCGACTGAGATGGTTGGGTCACGTGCTGTATGCGCCTAAACACCGGTCACCACGACGTGCAATGCTGACCGGTGTTCGGGATGGTTGGAAGAAAGTTAGGGGCGGCCAAACCAACACGTGAAATCAGTGCTTGAAGTCACTAACGTCTGTTCTGAGCCATGTTGGTAGATGCAGACTACTTGGTTGGGGTCCGCGTGACTATCGTAAGCAATGATTGGAAACTCCTGCTGACATGTCTCACGATCGATCACAATGGCGTCAGTGTTTTCACTCTCTGTCTTCCCTTAAACTAAGAGATTAAAATCGCCTCATATCTTAATTTCTACGAACCAATTCCTTCTCCCTGTACTATATCCTCATATGCAATCTTTCTTTTATACATTACTACCTCTGAATTAACTAGTTTTAAGAATAAGGTGTCCATCTTGTTGTGTTAATCAGGTTTGTCAACTTCGACCGATGCATATATTTGCCTGGTCCTACGTTGTAGCTGACTGACTACTGAGATTGGAACGATGGGCAGAACACTTTAGGGACCATTTCAGCTAGCTTTCAACCACACTTCGGTTTCTTACGATCTCCAGTCGACCTGACTGGCAAGTTAATGTAGGTCCCCCGTCTCTTTACGAAGTTCAAAAAGCCATAGGAAATCTGAAGTGAGAGCAGCAGGTCCTGACAGGTTTACTCCTGAGATTTTTAAGGATGGCGGTCCAGTATTAGCGGTGAGGTTGACTGAGGTCTTAGGTAAAATTTTGGGAACTGGACGTAATCCCATCTGACTGATCTCAATCACTGATTGTGCCAGTCTATAAAAGGGGACAAAAGTCCTTTTGTGACAATCACACAGGAATCAGTTTGACAAATATAGTGTCGAAAATAATACTTAGACGCCTAACTAAAGCTTGTGAACAGCGAACTAGAGAGAACCAGGCTGGTTTTCGACCTGGACGTGGTTGTATAGACCAGATATTCACATTACGTCAGGTCGTAGAACATAGACACACATTCAGATGCCCAACAATCATAATATTTCTCGACCTTAAGGCGGCATTCGACTCTGTTGATCTTGAAGTCCTGTGGCAGTGCTTGTCAACGAAAGGAGTATCAAAGAAGTACATTAACCTTGTAAAGGCTCTCTGCTCGAACACAACTGGTAGAGTGGGAGCTTATGGCGAACTGTCATCAGAATTGACTACCTCAAGTGGTGTTCGTCAGGGCTGTCCACTCTCTTCATTGTTGTTCAACTTTGTCGTTGACGTACTTTTAGAGATGACACTTTCCCCATCTAAATTTCCAGGGGTTGAACTTCTACCGCGAGATTCACTTTTTGACTTGAAGGGGGAGAACAAAGGATATTCTCAGCACATAAGTCCTTTGAATATGCAATAAAGCATAATAGTTCAGGTGAATTCAACTAGGATGGGAAGATGAGCAGTGACATATATTTTGACACGACGTAACCTATACTACTCATATATTTATAGTAGGGTGAAGTGAGAGGGCAAAATATCAAGTCAGTTTGTAAGCAAAAAACGACAATATACTTGGGACTCGTTACAAAACAATTACCTGCTTCGCCACTCGTGTCAATATGGAAACTAGCCAAATAGTCTGGGGCTTCAATAACAGACACCATCCTTTCTGACAATAAAGTACTGTCTTTAACATCCCGCCCATCATCAGTTTTCATAGTTCGCTTTTCAGAGCTTACTGAAAGGGAAAACAGAATATAAATTCCAGGAAACATCCAGTACCAACACCATGGTATTCATCCGTCATCAAAATGGAAAGAAAGCAATATGTCCGCGCAGACGTTCAAACAGACTATTCAAACAAGGCCACAAAACGATGACCCAAAAAAATGACAATAGATAAAGCAAGAAAATATACAAAACAAGTCATCTTAACTACATTTTACATGCATAAGACTTCACTCACGAGTCCAAAGGTGGTGTGAAAAGGTAGGTTCGATAGAATTTGTTTCCTTTTCTATGTAGTGCTTTAGACTAACTACACCAAACGGTTTACAGTGGTTATGGAACAAACTAAGGGATCAGAGTAAAAAAAAACATTGCCTTGTTCTATACTTTATTCTTAGGCAAATACTGAACTTTTGCTTGGAGTGCTTCCACGATGCTCGTTTAATGACGTCGACAGCTATAAGTTTCGAAAATGGATCACTGTTTATGAAAGTTATGTCTACCACTAAACTGATTATCCGTGAGTACAAGAAGATTCGCATCGTTTGCTTTTTGAATTGAAATTCCGAAATTATTACCAACAGTGTGTCAAAACATTTCGAATCAGGTAAACATACACGCTTTTAGGTTATCATCGTCCATATGGTGGATTCTTCCAAACATCCAGTACCCTTTTCCTCCACAGCAGAGTACGGTACTCGTCAAGATAAAGCCAGAGACAACCACAGGTGTGATCTCAACACCAGCTCACAACTGCATCATAATTACTACTATTGTTATCAAGTAGCACTAGCGCTCCGAAAACAAAGTCAGAAGGAAGGAGCCCAAGTGAAGGAAGACCTATTGCTCCATAAGAATGTCACAGATGCTCAGGGCTTGACAACGTCATTATTCATAACACGTTTCCAATCAAGGATCTCTAGCTTAAACAAATCAAAAGCCAGGAATAATGCGGTTTGAAGGTAACATTTGGAAGGTGGTCGATGGGTTGCAAGGTTTGTGATCTAGGCTGAAGGATATATGTCGAAGGAACACCTAGACCTCTTTGACTCACCATCGAAAAGGCTGGGCAGTCTAATAGTATGCCACGACAGACCCACAAATAACTAAGTAGCCACTCCCACACGTTGCTAATTACTTACTTGCTTACTTACGCCTGTTACTCGTGAAGGAGCACAGGCCGCTCACCAGCATTCTCCATCCAACCCTGTCCTGGGCAATCCTTTCCAGCTCTCTCCAGTTGTTATTCATCCTTTTGCATAATGTATGTCCTATCCATTTTCATCGTCTTTTCCCAATTTCTTCTTCAGCTGAAAGCTGGTTTGTTCTCTCCCACAAAAGGCTGTTGCTGATGGTAACCGGCCAATGGATGTTGACTATCTTGCGAAGACAGCTATCTATAAATACTTGTACCTTCTTGATGACGGTTGCAGTAGTTCTCCAATTTTCAGCTCCATACAGTAGAACTGCCTTGACGTTCGTATTGAAGATTCTCACTTTGATATTGGTTGAAAGTTGTTTTGAGTTACATATGTTCTTCAATTGTAAGAATGCTGTCCTTGCTTTGCCAATTCTTGCCTTTACATCTGCAGCCTACTTGTTCATCGATTATACTTCCCAGATATGTGAAGGATTCTACATCTTTCAGAGTTTCGCCATCAAGAGCGATTGGGTTGCTGTTCTCCGCTTTGAATTTGAGGACCTTGGTTTTCCCTTTGTGTATGTTGAGGCCTACTGATGCAGAGACTGCTGCTACACTGGCTGTCTTTATCTGCATCTGTTCGTGTGTATGCGATAGGAGGGCTAGGTCATCTGCGAAGTCCAAATCGTCTAATTGATTTTGAGCTGTCCATTGTATTCCGTGTTTTCCTTCAGATGTCGAGGTCCTCATAATCCAGTCGACCACCAGAAGAAAGAGGAAGGGAGAGAGTAAACAGCATCGTCTGACTCCGGTCCTTACTTGGAATGCATCTGTCAGCTGTCCTCCATGCACGACTTTGCATTGTAGTCCGTCATATGAGTTCCGTATAATATTGACAATCTTCTCAGGAACTCCGAGTGTCGAAGAAGCTTCCATAGCATTCTCCTATCTACACTCTCAAATGCCTTTTCACAATCAATGAAGATGGTGTAAAGTGACGAGTTCCACTCATCTGATTGTTCGAAGACGATCCGTAGTGTCACGACTCGGTCTGTACAGGACCGATCCTTACGGTATCCATCCTGTTGATCCCGAAGTTGGGCGTGTGTTGAGTCTTCCATCAGGTTCAGCAAAACTCTGTTGAAGACTTTCCCTGGTATTGACAGTAGTGTAATGCCTCTGTAGTTTTCACATTTGCTCAGATCTCCTTTCTTTGGAATCTTGACGAGGTGTCCTTCTTTCCAGTCCATCGGCACTTGTTCCTCCTCCCAAATCTTTTTGAATAGAAGGTAAAGCATGCTTGTGGTTACTTCGACGTCTGATTTCAGTGCTTCAGCTGGTATGTTGTCGGGTCCTGCTGCTTTCCCGTTCTTGATTTGTCTGATGGCCATTCTGATTTCTTCCGTAGTTGGTGGATTGACATCTATAGGAAGATCTATGTGTGCTGCTTCGATGTCCGGTGGATTCATTGGAGCCGGCCTATTCAGGAGTTCCTCAAAGTATTCTACCCATCTGTTACGCTGTTGTTGAATTTCGGTGATTGGCTTGCCTTCTTTGTCTTTGACCGGTCTCTCTGGTTTACTGTATTTCCCTGATAGTTTCTTCGTTGTATCGTAAAGCTGTTTCATATTTCCTTCTCTAGCAGCTTTTTCTGCCGTCGTTGCTAGTTCTTCCACGTATTTCTTCTTGTCGGCTCTAATGCTCCTCTTCACTTGTTTGTTTGCTTCTTTGTATTCAGCTTGTGCTTGGACTTTCTCTGCTCGTGTTCGGCTGTTGTTTATTGCTGCCTTCTTGTTCTTCCTTTCTTTGATCTTGTCCAGTGTTTCTGTAGAGATCCATTCCTTATGATGGTATTTCTTTAGACCGAGAACCTCTTGACACGTTGAAGTTAATGCTTCCTTGATGCCTTTCCAGTTGTCCTCCATAGTAGTTTCTTCTTCTTTCAGTAGATCTTGTAAGGCTTGGAACCTGCTGTTGAGAGCTATCTTGAATTCATTGAGTTTGTCAGTATCTCGAAGGAAGGCTGTATTGAACCTTTGTATTGCTGTTTGTCCACTTGTCCAGTTCTTTTTTAGCTTCAGTTTTAAATTGGCTACAACTAGGTGGTGATCTGAAGCTACGTCAGCACCTCTCCTGGTTCTCACATCTTCCATTGTCCTTCGGAATTTTTTGTTGATGCAAATATGATCTATTTGGTTCTCTGTAGTGTGGTCCGGTGAGATCCATGTAGCCTTGTGTATACGCTTGTGTGGAAATATTGTGCCTCCTATGACCAATTTGTTGAATGCACATAGATTTGCAAATCTTTCTCCATTTTCGTTTCTCTCTCCCAGTCCATGTCGTCCCATAATATCTTCATATCCAGTGTTGTCTATTCCGACTTTGGCATTTAGATCTCCCATCAGAATAGTTAGGTCCTTTCTTGGGCATTTCTCAATGATTGACTGCAGCCGCTCGTAGAACTGATCTTTGATTTCGTCGTTGCTATCATTGGTGGGTGCATAACATTGGATAATATTCATTAAGATCCCCTCCTTCTTTGTTTTGAATGATGCTTTGATGATTCTGGATCCGTGAGATTCCCATCCTACAAGTGCATTTCGTGCTACTTTGGACAGCATTAGAGCGACTCCCTGAGTGTGTGGAGCATTTTCCTCTTCGTGACCGGAGTATAGCAGCATCTCTCCCGTAGCTAGCCTTTTCTGTCCAGCTTGAGGCCAGTGGGTTTCACAGATTCCCAGTACTGCCAGGTTGTATCTCCCCATTTCAAAAAAAAAAAAAAAAAAAAAAAAAAAAAAAAACGTTCTTCAGACGTTCCATTTACCTATAAAAATGTTTGCTCTGGTTGTTAGAAGGGGCATCGGCCTCGTGACTTCCGGAGGAACTCGACTTTCATCATGAAGCGTAATAATTCTTCTAAATGAAGACCTTCTAACTCCCAGGGCAGAGTTAAAATGGTTTGGATTATTTTTTCTGGTAAGCGTTTTTTTAGCGGGTTAGTTTTCTAAGGGATGGGGACGCTAACCCCATGCCCGACCCTCCTCCTTTACCCGGGCTTGGGACCGGCAGTAACTGTAGAAGAGCTACAGGCGGAGTTACACGTTGCTAATAGGTTAGGGATATCTTGACCCTCAAGAATGCTGGTGTACAACTGTGACATTAATGTTGTGCTCGCTTCCTTTCTTGTCTATGGTATTAAGTAATGGACAAATGGTCATCATTGAATGAACTGATGAAAATGCCCGATGACAGTATGTGATTAGAGTTTGAAAGTGACACGTATGAAGAACTATTTCGTTTCATCTACGTTGGTGGTCTACGCTTGTGAGCCCGACTTCAAACAACACAATCAATAATTACAATCTTTTTATTGCATCATGTATTCATTATTTTTCATCTTTAACGTCACCAATGTTAATCAATTACCATGAACAATAGTTCCTTCCTAACATTAATGTATTACCACAAATGCTGTCCACTTTCTCCATTTTTAAATAGCTCCATCATAGACATACTGATGGCAATAACATTCTGGTCGACTGAATTCTCGTGTATTGATCTCCTTCCAGGAGGTCCACTTATCATCTTAGAATACGCAGATGACATAGTCCTGTTTGGTGAAGACGCTGATAAAATGCAGATTCTTTTGGTAGCACTAAGCAACAATGCCAGAATGTTTGGAATGCGCTTCTCTCCCTGTAAATGCCAGGTGCTGCTTCAGGACTGGTCTGCGCCATTGAAAGTAGAAGACACTCGTAAGCTACTAGTATTTGACCACAGATGTCTTACAAATATTGCTCGCATCTGCTGGGATCACCGGGTAAGTAATAGTGAGGTTAGACGCAGGGTATTAGGGAATGATGGTAAATCAGTTGATGAGGTTGCGAATCTTCATCGACTGAGATGGTTGGGTCACGTG